AATTCTTACAATTATGAATGCATGAATGAATTTGTGTATGTCCTAGTTCACAGAAACCTTGAACTCTATGGACCTCTTCTTTAAGGTGTGGGGACATGGGACACTGGTAGGCGGGGCCCCCTCTGTATACACCAAAATGAAGATGGCACTACCAGATGGCATTCTCCAGGGCAGGAGATGGTGGGTGGGCACCAGAGTAGCTCCCTGTCCTTCATGCTTCCCCATATCTGTTCTGGAGGTCTGCATGTCCTCAAGTCCTACAACACTTTCTTTCTTTCTTTCTTTTTTTTAAGTCTGGTAAAATATAGACCAAGAAGACAAAGTAAATCATTTTAATGAAATGTGCAAAGACTTGGAGTTAGAAAACCAAAAGGGAAGAACATGCTCAGCATTTCTTAAACTGAAAGAACTGAAGAAAAAATTTAAGCCTCGAGTTCCAATATTGAAAGAGTCTATGGGCAATATGGGAGCTCTGGTAGCGTAGTGCCTAAGGCACTTGGCTGATAACCAGAAGGCTGGCGGTTCAAACCCACCAGCCACTCCTCAGAAGGAAGATGGGGCAATCTACTTCCATAGTGATACTGCCTCTGCAACCCAGGGAGGGGTCACTATGAGTCGGGTCTGACTCGACGGCACATAACAACAACAACATGGGCAATATATTGAATGATGCAGGAAACATCAAAAGACGATGGAAGGAATGCATAGAGTCACTGTACCAAAAAGAACTGGTCAATGTTCATCCATTTCAGGATGTGGCATATGATCAAGAACCAGTGGTGTTGAAGGAAGAAGACAAAGCTGCACTGAAGGAATTGGCAAAAAATAAGGCTCCAGGAATTGATGGAGTACCCATTGAGATGTTTCAACAAATGGATGCTATGCTGGAGGCACTCACTTGGCCATGCCAAGAGATTTGGAAGACAGCTACCTGGCCAACTGACTGGAAGAGATCCATATTGGTACCCATTCCACAGAAGGGTGATCCCACAGATGTGGAAATTATTGAACTATATCATTTATATCACACTCAAGTAAAATCTTACTGAAGAGAATTCAAAAATGGTTGCAGTAGTATAATGACAGGGAACTTCCATAAATGGATTCAGAACAGGATGTGGAACAAGGGATGTCATAGCTGATGTCAGATAGATCTTGGCTGAAAGCAAAGAATACCAGAAAGATGTTTACTTGTGTTTTATTGACTATGCAAAAGCATTCGATTGTGTGGGTCATAAAAAATTATGGATAACATTGAGAAGAATGGGAATTCCAGAACACTTAATTGTAATCATAAGGAACCTGTACATAGACCAGGAGGCTGTTCAAACAAAACAAAGGGATGCTGCATGGTTTAAAATCAGGAAGGAGTGCATCAGGGTTGTATCCTTTCACCATATTTATTCAATCTGTATGCTGAGCAAATAATCCAAGAAGCTGGACTATATGAAGAGGAACATGATGTCAGGATGGAAAGAAGACTCATTAACAATCTGTGGTATGCAGATGATACAACTTTGCTTGCTGAAAGTGAGGATGACTTGAAGCACTTACTGATGAAGATTGAAGACTATAGTCTGCAATGTGGATTACACCTCAATATAAAGAAAACAAAAATTCTCACAACTGGACCAATAAGCAGCATCATGATAAATGCAGAAGAGATTGAAGTTGTCAAAGACTTCATATTACTTGGTTCTACAATTAACACCAATGGAAGCAATAGTCAAGACATCAGATGACATACTGCATTGGGTAACTCTGCAGCAAAAGACCTCTTTCAAGTGCTGAAGAGCAATGATGTTTCCTTGAAGACTAAAGTGCTCCTAACCCAAGCCATGGTATTTTCAATTGCCTTATATGCATGTGAAAGCTGGACAATGAGTGAGGAAGACCGAAGAAGAGTTGATGCTTTTGAGTTGTGGCACTAGTGAAGAATACTGAAAGTACCATGGACTACCAGAAGAACTAACAAATCTGTCTTGGAGGAAGTGCAGCTGGGATGCTCCTTGGAGGCAAGAATGGTCAGACTTTGTCTCATCTTCTTTGTCATGTTGTCAGAAAGGACCATTCTCTGGAGAAGGATATCATGCTTGGTAAAGTAGAGGGTCAACAAAAAAGGGGAAGACCCTCAAACAGATGAATTGACACAGTGGCTGCAATGATGGGCTCAGGTACAGCAAGGATTGTGAGGCTAGCACAGGACTGGGCAGTGTTTCGTTCTGTTGTACATAGGGCACTATGAGGCAGAGATGACTTGACAGCATCTAACAGCAACAAGAATATAAGTAATGGAATTTCCCATGTTACCCATTTTTGGGTGTACAGTTCAGTGGCATTAATTATATTTACCATGTTATACAGCCACCATCACTATTTATTCCCTAATGTTTTTCTTCACCCCAGGCAGTAACTCTGTACTCCCCACTCACTCCTCTGGTTACGAAGGTAACCAGTAATCTGCTTTCTGTCTCTATGCATTTGCTTATTCTTGATATTTCATGTAAGTGTGATCATATGATATTTGTCTTTTTTTGTGTCTGGCTGATTTCACTCATCTATACCATAGCATTTATCAGAACTTTGTTCGTTTTTATAGCTGAATCTGGTCCACTGTATGTCTAGACCACATTTTGTTCATCTGTTCATCTGTTGATGGACAGTTGGGTTGTTCCCACCTTTTGGCTATTGTGAATAGGGCTGCAGTAAACACTGGTCTTTTGGGAGTGGAATTGTTGGATACTATGGTAATTCCAGAGCTCTGGTGGTGTAGTGCCTAAGGCACTTGACTGCTAACCAGAAGGCTGGCGGTTCAAACCCACCAGCCACTCCTTGGAAGGAAGGTTGGGCAATCTACTTCTGTAGTGATACTGCCTTGGAAACCCAAGGAGAGGTCGCTATGAGTCGGGGCCAACTCGACGGCACATAACAACAACAACAACAACATGGTAATTCCATGTTTAACTCTTTGAGTAATCTCTGCAATACTTTTTCTTAGAACCCTAAGTATACCTCCACCATGAGGCTCCTCCAGCCAGAGAGATATCTTCAAGGATTCGCAGATTTTATCCTGGGCCCAAATATCCCTGCCTCTGCTACTGAGCATGAACAGATGAAGAATAAAGAATCCGGTGGATGTCCTGCATTAAATGCTATTGTACAATTAATCATCCTCAATTGAACCGCAGGGCCCCTCTCTCCTTAGCGTGTGTTCATTCTGAGCTCAGAGTTTGTCTGACTCTACACTTTCTTGTGCAGTATCTTCCCCCGGGGACGTGTGGATGGTAGACTCCTCTCCCATATGTTCTATGTCTCCTGGGACTTCCTCACAGTGTGGACACCCCCCTGATGGCATCTTTTCTTGTTTGCTTATACTGTTGTGGATTATTCTTTATACATGTGTGTGTGTCCATATCTATGAGTCGGATCTGACTTGACAGTAGTGGGTTTTTTTTTTTTTGGTTTTATATATATATAAAAACTCAAAAACTCACTGCTATCGAGTCCCTCCTTGGGTTTCCAAGGTGGTATCTCTATGGGAGTTAGATTGCCCAGTCCACCTTCCAAGGAGTGGCTAGTGGGTTTGAACCTCCAGCCTTCTGGTTACCAGTCAAATGCCTTAGACACTGCACCACCAGAGCTCCTTTATGGCTATTGTAATTTACTGATATTTTCTTGTGGCCTCTAAATGGTCAATTTTGATAAATGTTGCAGGGGCAAAGGAAAAGGCACACAGCCTATTTTGAGATGCAAACTTGATATAGAGCGTAAGTCGGGTACATTAATTTTCCTGATCATGACTTCTACATCTTTTATGCTTTTATTTTTATTTTTCTAGTTGTGTATTGAAGACTATAGGTGGTTTATTAAAATTTCTAGATATTATCAGATTTCTGTCTAACCTTTTTTCAGCCAGTTCCTATTTCACAAGCATTGTTATGTATGCTTTTACTCTAGTCCAAGCAAGCATGTTAAATCCAACTCAATGTGTCCATACTGAAGAGTGTTAGTCAGTAAGCACATAGACACCAGCTTGTATCGAGCAAGGTATGCACGGGCTTAAATGTGGTTACTTGCTAATCTGTGGTCAGCGATTTCACAGTGTATTTGCTGCGGTGGAGGACAGGTGAAATTGTGCACTACAAATTTGTGGGAAGACACAATTGGATCGATTTGTACCTTGCTTGTTGGGTAATCTGACCCTGCTGGAATCAGGAAGTCAGAATTTGTTCCCAATTCTACCTCTTCAAGTCCTATGTCTCCATTTCCCCAACAATAACATGAGTGTTACAGTAGTATCCATCTCTCAAAGATTTTGTGAAAATTGAATAAGTTAATGCCTTTGAAACCCTTAGAGCAAAGCCTGGCCCACAGGAAGCATTCAATAAATGTTAGATATTTTTCATATCCCCCCACCTACTGTGGTGGCTTGCATGTGGTTGTGATGCTGGAACTTATGCCAACTGTATTTCAAATACAGCAGGGTCACCCATCGTGCACAGGTTTCAGCAGAGCTTCTAGAGTAAGACAGAGTGGGAAGAGATGCCTGCCAATCTACTTCTAAAAATTCACTAATGAAAACCCTATGGAACAAATCAGAATATTATCTGCCTGGACTCAAACACGCCAATGATTGTGAATATGGGACAGGACAGGGCAGTGCTCTATGCTGTCACATGTGGGTGATCATGAGCTGGAGCCAGTTTGACAGCGGTTAACAACAACAGCAAAATTTTCATATCTGCATTACGTTCATCAGCAGCCCATTGGGATTTTGGTATCATCTTGTAGGTCACTCTCAGCCCTCCTAGCTACATGGTTGTTTGGAGTTGTCACTGTTTCCTACATCCATAAAGTGTTTTTTTTTTAGGCAGACACTACTTTGAAGACTGCTAAGGGACACTGTTTGGGACCAGCGTTGTCTGTCTTTAGATGATGCCCGTTTAATGCAGAGAGCAGCTCCCCAAGCTCTTCAGAGTGTTTGCTCCTCTTTTCACAGGATGTTCACTGTGACTAAGGCCTTCAAAGAGGCCCTTCTTCAGCACTTCATATACCAGAAGCTGGAGATCTCCTATGCCATACACAAGCCATTTCCCTTCTTTGAAGGTCTCCGAGACAAGTCTCTCATCACTGACAGAATGTACAAGGTGAGTGACGTTAACCAATTTCTCAAGGCAGCCCAGTCCTCCCCAAGTAGGTCCTATTATCCAGGTCTCAACCACAAACCACCAGGGCTTCTGGAGTTTGGAAGGACCAACCCAGGCATGTTCATCATCAGGAAGATGTGGGTGGTTGGGAGAAAAGATATCACAGGGGCCATTCCAACTCCTAACACCCAGCTGAGGAGTTTGTCAGTCACAGATGTGAGATAAGGTAGGTGCTGGGAACTATGGATCTGTGGACCAAAATGGCACTCTGTCCTTATAATTGTGGGTTTTCAAAGCATTTCCTGAGGCCCAGGCCCAGGCCCAGGGAAGTACTAGCATTGATAGAAGGATCTAACTCCCTTGTGTTTAGCTACAACTTCCTTTTCAGGCCAAATGCCATTCCTCATAGGGGCCTCCTTGACCTACACATCTAATTAAGACCCTCTGGTTCTTCTTTCTCATAGAGTCTATGCTTTCCTCTACAACTCTTCTCACAATTAGTAGTTAGGTATTTAATTTTAATTTGTGTTTGCTGTTAAATGTCCATCTTTCTTGCCTGATAGTGCCACCACATAGGCAGCAGTATGTTGATCTTACCACAGCTGTGTACCCAAGGACTAGCTCACTCAGCCTAGTAGGCCCTCAGTAAGTATTTTTCAATCAAGTATCACCTGCCATGGTTTTCACTTTGGCCATGTTCTCAGCAAGAGGTTTCTGGATCATCTCACTGTGCCTGGAACCCATGCAGGTCAACCCAGGTCGGGGATAGAGCAGAGACTAAGGAGCAATCAACAGAATTGCCACTTGTGACAGACTGATAAGTCCATTGCTGAAGCATCCCGATCAAAGCCTTACATAAGCAATCACACAGTAGCTTACTTTGAATACTCTTGGGTGTGCAAACAGGTAACACATTTGGCTGCCAACTGAAAAGTTGTAAGTCCCAGTTCATCCAGAGGTACCTCAGAAGAAAGGCCTATTCATCTGCTTCCAGAACATCAACCATTGAAAACCCTAGGAACACAATTTTCCTCTCACATATATGAGGTCACCATGAGTTGGGGTCAACTTGATGACAACCAGTTGGTTTACTTTGACCCCACATTCCATCCTTAGTGTATCTCTCTTGCCTCCAATGTTCCTAAAAGTAAGATTTACAAAAACAGACATACTTTTAAAGAAGTTGTTATTGTTGAGAATATGCACAGCAAAACATACACCAGTTCAACCCTTTCTATATGTACAATTCCGTGAAATTGATTACATTTTCTAAGCTGTGCAACCATTGTACTCCTTTTCTGAGTTGTTCCTCCACAATTATTATAAACTCATTGTTCTCTATGGTTCCTATCTAATATCTGAACACTGAAGATACTGTTGTCAATTTGATCCCATATGGGTATTTCTTAAAAAACCATAATATTCAAGACAGAATTTTTTACTAGTTAAGCTAAACTATTGTTTGATTTTAAGAAGACTTCAGGAGATATTTTTAGTTTAAGCTTTAAATATTATTGAAGGGCAATACTTTCAATGGCTCCAGAAAGTCTGGAGGCCATTAGAATTTGAAATTCTGTTCTACACTTTCCCCCCTTTGATCAAGATTCTTCAGTAGAATCTTTGATAAAAATGTTTAGTAATGGTAGCTGGGCACCATCCAACTCTTCTTGTTCTTGAAAGCAATTAGCCACAAGTTCCATGTCCTCCTGGTCCTGCCTCTCCTTCTGCCTCTGTTGCTCCAGGAAAACAGAAGCCAATTGTTTCTGGATGGCCACTTGCAAGCTTTTAAGGCTCCAGACACTACACAACAAACTAGGAGTAGGACAGAAGTACTAAACCCGTTGGTAGGCCAGTTAACTGGGATTTGTCATGAGTATGACCCTAAACCTTCAATGAAACCAAGAAACCAAATCCCAGAAAAATTTGGTTGTAAATAATTAGCCTCAAGCAGCTGTTTTTTGTTTTTTTTTTTTTTAATGTTAAATGTGAAATAGCTTTCTGATAACTTCTAAAACTACAAGTGTATAATCACCCTCTATTCAATTTTATAATTATTTCTAATAATAATTTGTTCCATTTCTTCAGGAATCTCTGGAAGCCTGTCAAAATATGGTCCCTGTATCAAGAGTGGTGCACAACGTCCTCACCAACCTGGAGAGAACATTTGACCTGTCGCTTCTGGTGGTGTTGTTCAGCTCCATTAACCTGCGGGAATACCCCAATCTAGTGACAATTCTCAGGAGCTTCAGAAGTGGTAATGAGGTTTCTCAAATACTTTGGAGGCTGCAGAAACATGTGAGGAATTGCTGTGTGAAAAGTTTGGTTTGTTTTCAACTCAGTGGAATATGCACTTCAGTTTCCTGCTCTCTCTTTGGGAAGGTGTAGGCTGTCCTCTCTCACAGGTGTGGCAGGAAGCTCAGCCCCTTGCCAACTCAGACCTCAACTCTTAATGATGAATTTCTAGGGGACACAAATGCTTTGGTCTCATCTGCTCCATGAATTTTGGGAAAATTATACAGCTTATCATATGAACAGTCTCTACTTAATACATCAGATGACAGAGTGACCTTTGGGAAATGCAAAGTTACAGAGACCAGGTCTGGTGGAAGGACAAGGAGAGTCAGGGAGGAAAAGAAATGGATAGGGATGAACAATAACAAGTACCATTTCTCTGAGTACTTACCGTGTGCCAGGCATTATCCCAAGCACCACATGTGGTTATCATATGTCATCTTTCAAACAATTTTGTAATGCCATCTGGGAGCTCTAGTGGCGTAGTGCTGAAGGCATTTGACTGCTAACCAGAAGGCTGCTGGTCCAAACTCACCAGCCACTCCCTGAAAGGAAGGTTGGGCAATCTATTTCCGTAGAGATACTGCCTTGGAAACCCAAGGAGGGGTCGCTATGAGTCGGGTCGACTCAATGGCAGTGTGTTTGGTTTGGTTTGGTATGATGCCGTTACTATCCCCATTTTACAGATAAGGAAATTACAGCTTAGAGGTGACTTCCCCAAAGTGCTTGTCTGTTAAGAAGCAGAGCCAGGAGTCATAACTGGGTCCCCCAATGCCAGAACCCACGATTTTAACCACTGTCTTAAACATGGGTGAGCTGGAAGCCAGATTATCAAGCTGAAGGAGGGAAGGACGTAGCTAAAGAAGAACAGAGGGGACATACAGACAGACGGAGAGGGCATGAGAAAGAAATGGAGTGTGAAGTATACTGAGTCCACTGAGAAAGAGCTGGTAAGGAAGGGAGTAGGAAAAAAGAGTAGTGGCCGAGCTGGGAAGAAAGCAGCAAGGGCAAGAGGGAAATTATTCTACACTGAGGAAAAACACTCAGGCCAAATCATGTGGTTCATGTACCTGAGAACAATGGGAAAGGCCACCAGATATCACTGGACTGACATTTTCTTTAATGGAGTCATCACTGTTGACAGCACTACATCTGCTCAGTGACACATCACCATCCCTAGAGCTAACGGGGCAGCAAAGAACAAATGCTGACCTCCATGGAGGTGGCACCGCAGGCGGCCTAGTCCTCCTGGCAGCACTGGGCAATGAGGGGAGAAGCTTGGAACTAAAGGCCACGCTAAACTGATCTAACAACAAGCAGGTCTGTGAGCCAGAGGGGCCCAGAGCTGGATGGACCCCCGGCCTGACTGCACCCCAGTAGCCCTGTGTCTGCAACTCTGTGATAGAGGGTTCATTAGGTCGTTCTCTCAGATCTGTCTCTACACTCTCTTTTTTGTTTACTAGTTGGGACAAGCTTCCTTTTTAAATAAATGATGGAGAAGAATGATAAGAGAAACCTGGCATTGGCCATGGAGGGGAAGAGCGCACAGAAAGCCCCGGGCCTGGGGTACAGGGGGTAGGAAGATGTTTAGTGTGGCAATTGTAGTGTGTAAGGAGGGAGCCACAAGTCTGCACTGATGAACAAAACTGGGGTGTGAAGGTTCTAACATGCCATGCTGAAGAAGCTGGATTTATTCTCTTTGCTCCAGGGAAGTGACATGTTTATTTACTAACAGAGACCTCTACTAAAATGATTTCATGTACAGCGAGTATCTACCCATACAAACAAAGTTAAAGAATAGAATGAAGTTAAATTCCTGGATACAAAGTCAAATACAACTTTATCTGTGAAACCACTTTGGCCTTAATCCAGGGGTTAATGCAGTTACCGTGACATAGAATACCCAACTAAAGTAAATAAAACAGGAAGGGACCACAAATGGACTGATGATGAGGCTGAATGCAGTTCTATGCACCTGGGTTAGGGAGAAGGAGTGACTCCATGCTTCCATCCTGTTGGAAGTTACGTATGATGGCTTCTCCTTCTCCAAACACCTAATTCTGAGTTTCCTAATTCTCCAAATACCTAATATGTGCTCATTCACGAATTCTAGTTGGCCGTGCCTATGGAGGGTGGAGCACAGCTATGCCAACCCTATGTGCAGCCCCAGCTGACCCAGCAGAATGGAGCTCCAAAGCCCTCCCTCCAAACCAGGACCTGCCACCAAGGCTGTCACTCCTACCCTCACCACCGAGCCATGTGCCCTGTCCACCGAGCATCAGCCAGCCTGAAGCACCCAGACGGCAAAGGAGTGTGATTCTGAGTGAACCATGCAGCCCTTCTGCCAGGGATCGCCCTGTGTTCATCCAGGAAGGAAGGCTCTCGTTAGGTGAGAGACACCATGGCCAAAATCTGTGTATCTTCAATACAGGGTGACTAGGCACCCGGTGTTCTGTCCTTTTATTGATCCACTCCTTTCCATGACCCACTACCCATATACAGCCCTTTCCACAAGGATTGTGCTCACTGCCAGGAGCTGGATGAGGCCCAGAACCCGGAAGAGCTGCTTCCCATCCATGTGACTTCCCAGGGCTGCTATAACAAGTACCACAAATGGGTGGCTTAAAATAACAGAAATTTGTTTTCTCACAGTTCTGGATGTGTTGGTGTTGATGGGTGCCTTCGAGTCAGTTCTGACTCAGCAATCCCATGCAGAACAGAGCAAAATGCTGCCCGGTTCCGTGCCATCATCAAAACTGCTGCCACGTTTGAGCTCATTGTTACAGCTACTGTTTCAATTCACCTGACTGTGGGTCTTCGTCTTTTCCACTGACCCTCTCCTTTACCAACTATGATGTTCTTCTCTAGGGACAGGTCCCTCCTGATAACATGTCCAAAGTACTTGAGATGAAGTCTTATCATCCCCCTTCTTAGGAGCGTTCTGGCTGTACTTCTTCTAAGACAGATTTGTGCATTCTTCAGCAGTCTGTGGTATATTCAACGTTCTTTGCTATCACCATGATTCAACTGCATCAATGTATTTTTTGGTCTTCCTTATTCATTGCCCAGCTTTTGCATGCAAAGAGGCAATTGGAAATACCATGGCTAGAGTCAGGTGCACCACAGTTCTCGTAACGACATCTTTGCTTTTTAACAATTAAAGAGCTCTTTTGTAGAAGATGTGCTCAGTGCAATGTACCATTTGACTTCTTGATTGTTGCTTCCATGGGAGTTGATTGTAGATCCAAGTGAAATGAAATCCTTGACAACTTCAGTCTTTTCTCTGTTTGTCATGATGTTGCTTATTAGTCAGTCGTGAGGATTTCTGTTTTCTTTATGCTGAGGTTTACTCCATACTGAAGGCTGTAAGCTTTGATCTTCATCAGTAAGTGCTTCAAGTCCTCTTCACTTACACCTAGCAAGGTAGTGTCATCTACATGTCACAGGTTGTTGATGAGTCTTCCTTCAATCCTGATGCTGTGTTCTTCTTCATAGAGTTCAGCTTCTCTGATTATTTGCTCAGTGTACAGATTGAGTAAGTGTGGCAAAAAGATACAACCCTGGCATCCGCCTCTTCTGATTTCAAATCAGGCAGCAAAGCCTTGTTCTCTTGGTCTGTTTACAGGCTCTGCATGAGCACAATGAAGTGTGCTGGAATTCCCATTCTACTGAATGTTGTCCATGATTTGTTATGATCCACAGAATTGAATGCCTTTAAATAGACAAAAAACACAAGTAAACACCTTCCTGGTGTTCTTTGCTTTCAGCCAAGATCCATCTGACATCAGCAATGATATCCCTCATTCTGTGTCCTCTTCTGAATCCAGTTTGAATTTCTAGAAGTTCCCAGCCAACTTACTGCTGCAATCATATTTTAATTATCTTTAGCAAATTTGTGTGTGAGTTAATGATATTGGTTGATAATTTCTACATTCTGTTGGATCACCTTTCTTTGGAATGGGCACAGATATGGACCTATTCTTGTCGGTTGGCCGGGTAGCTGTCTTCCAAATTTCTTGGTGGAGACAAATGAGTGCTTCTAGGCACTGCATCCATTTGTTAAAACATCTCAATTGGTACTCTGTCAATTCCTGGAGCCTTGTTTCTCACCAATGCCTTCAGCCCAGCTTGGACTTCTTCTTTCATTACCATCAGTTCACAATCATTTGTTACCTCCTGACATGGTTGAACATTGACAAATTCTTTGTGGTACAGTGCCTCTGTGTATTCCTTCCATCTTCCCTCGATACTTCCTATGTTGTTCAATATCTTGCCCATTGTTGTTGTTGTTATGTGCCATCGAGTTGGACCTGACTCATAGTGACCCCTCCTTGGGTTTCCAAGGCAGTATCACCACGGAAGTAGATTGCCCCATCTTCCTTCCGAGGAGTGGCTGGTGGGTTTGAACCGCCAGCCTTCTGGTTAGCAGTCAAGTGCCTTAGGCACTATCTTGCCCATAGTATCCTTCAATATTGCAACTTGAGGCTTGAATTTTTTCTTCAGTTTTTCTGCTTGACAAATGTTGAGTGTGTTTTTCCCTTTTGGTTTTCTGATTCCAGGTCTTTACACATTTCATTATAATACTTTACTTTGTCTTGAGCACCCTTTGAAATCTTCTGTTCAGCATTTCTTCCATTCACTTTAGCTACTTTCCATTTAAGAGCAGGTTTCACAGTCTCTTCTAACATCCATTTTGGTCTTTTCTTTCTTTCCTGTCTTTTTAATGACATTGGTTTTCTTCATGCATTATGTCCTTGATGTCATCCCTTAACTCATCTGACCTTTGGTCATTAGTGTTCTTTTTTTTTTTTTTTTCTTTTTTAACCTTTTATTGTCATTAGTGTCAAAGTTTACAGAGTAAATTTGATTTTCCATTCAATAGTTCATTCACATTTTTTTCATGACATTGATATCAACCCCCCAAATGTAACAGTGTTTTTCCCACTTCCTCCCTGTGGTTACCATTTCCTTTTGTCCTTCTTTCCTATCTGTTCCTGCCTTCTGAGTTTTATCCCTGGTGAAATGCCGCACGTTTGCTCTCTTATGTTTGATTGTTCTTAGGAGTGCATTCCTCCCTGGTGTTATTGTTCATGTCATAGGCCTGTCTATTGTTTGCCCAAAAGTTGAGCGTACTGAATGAGTTCAGATTAAGGCTTGAAGGGTGTCTAAGGGCCATTGTCTCAGGAGTTCCACCAGTTTCTGTCGGACCAATCAACCTGGTCTTTTTTTTATTATTTTCAGATTTGTTCCACATTTTTCTCCCACTCTATCCAGGATCTCCTATTGTGATCCCTTTCAGAGTGGTTGACAGTGGTAGCCAGGCACTATCTTGTTCTGGTCTCAGGGTCATGCAGGCTAAGGTTCACGTAGTCCACAATTGGACTAATTGTTTCCATGTGTCTTTCATTTTCTTCACTCTTCTTTGCTCTGGACAAGGAGAGACCAATAGTTGCACCTTAGATGTCCACTCTCAAGCTTTTAAGACCTTAGTTGCTACTCACCAAGGTAGGATGTAGGACAGTATCTTTGTGGACTATGCCAGTTGAACTTTATGTCCCCTGCAACTATGGTGCTGAGCCCGCAGTCTCAGTGACCCACTCTCTCTCAAGGTGTTTGGTTATGCTGAGAAGTTTTCATAACTTTGCCTCTTGATTGCTCTACTGTATACTTGGATGTTTTTATACACATGCAAATATGGATGTAGAAATTTCATATGCCAAACCTATATGGTTGTAGGTATAGTCCTGTTCACCTACCCACACTTGATCATCTTGCCTATTTACCTATGTATCTACTTGTAGATTAATGTTTGTTATCACTGATAATGCAGGATGGTGTATGTAATAGTTTTGACCTTTGTTGTCTGTAACTCTTATGCACCTCTCTGTGTCTTCCTTCTCCTTAGTGATATTGGGCTGGTCTTCTACTTTTTGTATATTGCCTTTCCCTTCATCTAAATTAATATATGTCTCTTACGTAGTTAGTAATTTTCCCTCCTTTACCCTCCCATCCTTGATAACCATCAAAGAATGGTTCTTTCCAAAGTAAACCTTACCTCAATTTTTTATAATATTGGACTCATACAATATTTGTCCTTTTGTGATTGACTTATTTCACTCAGCATAATGTCCTCCAAGTTCATCCATTTTATGAGGTGTGTTTCAGATTCTTTATTATTCATTAATGTTGTATAGTATTTCATTGTGTGTATGCACCACAGTTTGTTTATCCATCCATCCACTGATAGTCCATAGGTTGTTTCTATCTCTTTGGTATTGTGAATAGTGCTGTGATGAACATTGGGGGGTACATATATCTGTTTGTGTTTGTGTTGTGAAGCTCTCACTTCTTTAGGATATGTGCCTAGTAGTGGGATTGCTGGATCAAATGGTATTTCTATTTCCAACTTTTTAAGAAAACGCCACACCATTTACCACCATTTTCAATCCCACCAGCAGTGTATGAGAATTCCAATCTCTTCACACCCTCGCCAGCATTTGTTGTTTTGTCTTGTTGAACTCTGATCTTATTGCTGGGATGAGATGATAACTCATTGTTGTTTTGATTTACATCTCTCTTATGGCTAACGAAAGGAGTTCTAGACGTGTAATGGTTAAGGCATTTGGCTGCTAACCAAAAGGTCAGTGGTTTGAACCCACCAGCTGCTCCATGGAAGAAAGATGTGGGAGTCCATTTCTGTAAAGATTTATTGCCTTGGAAACCCAGTGGGGGTTGCTATGAGTCAGAGAGACACAATGGCAGTAACTTTGGGTTTCTTTTTTCGGAATGGCTATGATCAATAGCATTTCTTCATGTGTTTGTTGGCTGCCTGAACATCTTCTTTGGTGAGGTGTCTGTTCATGTCCTCTACACGTTTTTTAATTGGATTGTTTGTCTTTTTGATGTTGAGGTGTTGAAGTTTTCTATAAATTATAGAGATAAGTCCCTTGTCAGATATATCATTGCCAAATATTTTTTCCCAATCTGTAGGTTCTCTTTTTACTCTTTTGGAGAAGTCTCTTGAAACATCTAAGAATTTAATTTTTAGAAGATCTCAGTAATCTAGTTTATCTTCTGCTGTTTGTGCATTTTTGGTTATGTTTGTTAGTCCATTTTTGTCATAAACTGGGGCCCCTAAGTCTTTCTCTATTTTTTCTTTGTTTATCTTTATAGTTTTTACATTGAAGTTTTTGATTCATTTAGAGTTAGTTTTTCTATATAGTGTAAGGGATGGTCTTGTTTCATTTTTCTGCAAATGGATACCCAGTTTTGCCAGCACCATTTTTTTTTTTTTTTTTTTTTTTTACAGAAACTGTCTTTTCCTTATTTAATGGATGCTGGCCCTTTGTCAAAGATCAGTTATCCATAGGTGAATGGATATATTTCTGGGTTCTAACTTCTGTTCCACCATGCTGCATGTCTGTCATTGTACCAATACCAGACTATTTTGACTACTGTGGCTTTATAGTAGGTTTTGAGATTGTGAAGTATGAGACCTCCTATTTTGTTCTTGTTCAGTAGTTCTCTGCTTGGCTGAGGTATCTGTACATTCCATATAAAGTTAATTACTGGTTTTTCAATCTCCTTTAAAAATGCTGATGGAATCTTAATTCGGCTTGTATTGTATCTACAGAAGGCTTTGGGTAGTTTTGACATTTTCTCAATGTTCAATTTTCCTTTCGATGAGCATGAGAGAAAAAAGAGGAGGGGCTGGTGCAGCTACCGTCAGCTGGCAGCAGTGGCATCTGGGAGGAGGGGGCAATTGCCTACAGTGAGGATGGGAGCCTGCTGCATGGGAGTGCCTCCAACAGAGGAGGATGCAGTGACATGCATCCTGTGTTCAATCGGAGTAAGCCACCCCGCAGGCTTTCCCCTTCACATGGGCCCTCAACCCAAATGCCTAGCGTTCACCAGTAGGAAGTTGTCTCACCCCCCTTCACTGGGTCCTTCCTCCCTCTGCAGTTGCCTGTGCTACTGGAGGGAGCTCTGGTGGTGTAGTACCTATGGCATTTGACTGCTAACCAGAAGGCTGGCAGTTCAAACCCACCAGCCACTCCTCAGAAGGAAGATCGGGCATCTACTTCGGAAACCCAAGGAAGGGTCACTATGAGTCAGAACCAACTCCACGGCAGTGATTTTTTTTTCAATGCCACTGGAAAGCTTGCCCATTTCCCTGTACTTTCCTCTTCTGGATCTAGTGTGTATTCTGTTCACCTTGATTCCCTCCGGATCTGTCCACACTGTGCCTCTGTCCCACTGCAGATTCCTTAAAGTCGGATTCTCCTTGCCCATATAGAATTCCTCCTGTGTTTCAAATGGTCACACTGTCGGGCCCTAGCTTCTTCTCTCTCCCCAGTCACTGTCCTCGCTCTATCACCCCTCCCAATCAGCTCTCACTCTAATTCTTTATCCTCTCATTGGTGCTGAAAGTTCTGTGCTCAGTTTGTGTCTCTATGTCTCTTCTTCTCTTTTTATAAGGCTAGCAGTGGTTTAGGATCCATCCTACTGCAGTATGATCTCGTGTTAACCAAATACTTCTATAAAGACCCTATTCCCAAATAAGTTCATATGCATAGGTAAGAGAGTAAGACTTCAACACATAGTTGAGGGGACACAATTCAACCCATAACACCAGGCCTGGATCATACCAACCCTCTGTCCTGGAGTCTTGAGGCTCCCTCTACCATGGGCATTTTACATTCACTCTCTCTGGCCCCCAGTACCTGTTGTTGTTGTTGTTATTGTTATAGTACCTAGGACCTGAAATTAATTTTTCTTCCTTTCTTCAGCGGCCAATGACAAGTTCACATCCAAAACAAATGATGACGAAGATTCAGAAGAGAAGCCCAGCCCCTCACCTGGTCGTCTGCAAGGTAATGTTGGGCAGGGATGACTTAACCTCACTCAAGGTGGTTGTGGAAGACAAGCTCACATCTGTTAACCCAGAGGCTTGTGGCAAGAACCCGAGAAAGAGAACTGAGTAACAAAGAGAAAGAGACAAAGAGAGTGACCTTTTCACTGGCCCAGTGCAGGATGGATTGTCAAGGACACTGCCATGGCCAGTAGCACTAGTTACCATGGACTTGGTTCCAACTCATGGCAACCTCATGTCTATCAAAGTAAAACTGCTCCGTAGGGTTTCCAGTGGCTGTTTTTAAGTAGATCACCAGGTCTTTCTTTGGAGGCACTTTTTTTTTTTTTTAAATAAGTATTTATTAAGTACCCTTACACACAACCCTGGAGTAAATGAAAGGAATATTACTGGTTCTCAATTTTCAAAAAGTGGCCTATACAGACAGTATCATTTACTGGTTTTCTCTTTCACTAGGTAGTAGCCTTAAGAGTCCATAAAATCTCTAGTCATATTGGATTTCTTACAGTTGCTTTAATTGATTATATTTTAATACAGGTTCATGCATATTTCCTTATAGTGCTTCCCATACCCAGAGTGAAGGAGCTCTGGTAGCGTAGTGCCTAAGGCACTTGACTGCTAACCAGAAGGCGGGCGGTTCAAACCCACCAGCCACTCCTTGGAAGGAAGGCTGGGCAATCTACTTCCGTAGAGATACTGCCTCGGAAACCCAAGGAGGGGTCACTATGAGTCAGGGCCGACTTGACAGCACATAACAACAATACCTAGAATGCTCTTCTCTTCTTTTTCACCTGATTTACCTGCTTGCTTGCTTACTGATCTGCAAAGATTCAGTTCAAGGGTGATTTCTTCCATGGCGGTCCTTTCTAGTAACTCCTCCCTGTTGTTGTTGTTGTTGTTAGGTGCCTTTTGAGACACTTTTGGGTGTTCTTGACGTTCCAACCTTCCAGTTACCAGCCAAGCACATTAATCCTTTTTACCAGCTAGGGTCTACAATGTCTAAATACCATGTCAAAATACAAAAAAACAATAATCAAAAAACACTTTTCTGAATTGACAGGTAACTTGTGACGTGTACCATCCATGAGCCTTACCCGGTACCTAACTCCCACCTGACTATGGGGGCCATTCAGTTTCAACATTACTATTTTTATATGGCTTGGATTCCAAGAGTAATGTTATTGAAATCCAGTCTAGTCTAATTATTCATGGATTCTGTATTAGTGGATTCCACTACTAGCTAACATTTGTCTGTAACCCCCAAATCAATATTCACAGGGATTTCATAGTCATTCGCAGACATATGCAGAGTAGCTACTAATTTTAGTTGCCCAAAACACACATTCCCAGCTGAAGTGCAAACAAGGCAGATTTGGCTAATTCAGTGTTCAAAGGGACTTTATAGAATTTTATTGCAAATAATAAGAATTAATATAATGAGAATTAGACCAAATTTTTAAGTCTTCTGGAGCTGGTACAGCTTCAAAAATTATGTTACTTGTCCCCCCACCACAAACTGTCATTATAAGAGAGTTTGATTATATTAAATATGACATTTGTATAATATTGGGCCCTGTCAAAAATAGTGTCATGAATTCTGAGCCTTCTAGTACAGAGAACAAGGGGTCATAATGGATCCTCTTCTTCCCAATACATACCCAAATAAGGTTAACACAGTCAGGGAGAAGACAGCAGTGAAAGATTCCATGAGCTAGATTTTTGAAAGAAAAGAAGTAAGTGTAGTAACTAAAGTAACTAACTGAAAGTAAATGTTCACTTCTCCACTCTGTCCCACCCTGTCCCCGGCTTGCTGCTCCATCTGCCATTCGTCCTTGTCATGCTGGAATGGACTGTCCTCTCTTCTCTTACTCTGGTCCTGCTTGCTGGTACTAGATTCATTATTCTTTTCCTTCCTCTTCCCAGCATCCAGTACCAACCTAACCTCCCAAATAAAAGATAAAGAAGACTCTTAAGAGATGTCCCCTTCTCCCTCGGCCCCTGCGCAAGGAAATATCTTAATTCAGATCACTTAAGAATATCTTTTCTCTACAAAGAGGAAGAGCCATTGGCTGTTCCTGAGCAGGGCTGTCCTCCCCACCTACAACTGGCGTCTTGATCTAGCTTCCAGCCACCCACCCAACACTCTAGGAGCTTGAATGTGCAGGAGACCCAAGCTCCTGAGTGGAAACAAAGTCCTCAGGGAGGGAAAGGTGGCTGAGTCTGGAAAAGGTCAACTTGGAGGGGGCATTAAGGACAAGGGACATGGACTCTAAACACCAAAATGCAAAGCAACAAACAGAACCACTGTGTGGCCTCAACAATTAATGGGTGCTCCAGACATTGGTGATTCTCTAGCCTAGCCCCACCCTGACTCTGAGAACTTTCACCTTCAGCTCTAGTCATTTCAATTTTTAAGAGTTAAAAAAAAAAAAAAAAA